GAAAAAGGGGGCCAGGTGAACACCCGACTTATCCCCTCTGAAGCTTAAGTCAGTATTAAGATTCGAGGTTCAAGCTCAATGAATAATCTTTTTCTGGTTCAATCTTGCGTACTTTTGTTCATTTTTTTGAGGAGTATTTATACCTGAATTAATAATGATTGTCAAAGACTTCTAGTCCCATCTGGACATTTAATGTCTGACATGTCACTCCTCGTGCAATGAGTGTTCTCCATTCATGTCTTCTCCAACTCAATGCTAGGATGATGGGACGAGTGTTCGGCGCCATGCCGAGCATTTATGCCTTTCCCCGAGTATCCACATCCCTTAGATCGACGTCTGACACCCGCAGTTCGCACATTTCCTCTAGGAGAGCCGATCGTATCTACTCGGGGAACAGTTCCTCGAGGAACAGTTCCTCGAGGAGACAGTTCCTCGAGGAGAGCCGATCGTATCTACTCGGCGTAGTAGTCATTAATGCCTAGCCATCATGATAGTAGGCCTAGACTCTTAGAGTGTAGGTGCTCGCAGGCGCACATTTAATAGCCTTGTCACCACCACTCATTACGCCATAAATGAGGGGTCACATCGTATCAAATATGGTGCTAGCTATCGTACTCAGCTCCTCCGGGACACCATACCTCGGCTTATCTCCTCGGCACCTTTTGGACATCACAACGGCTTCATTATTCCACGTGTCAGTCTGGGGGCTGTAGAGTCACCTAGAGTCCCGCCACAAATAATATTTATTCCAACTTTCCTAAGATACATCAATTAATGGATATTAACTCCATACCACTGTAATTAGTATTAGGAACCTCCTTCCAGCCTTATTTTCAAGCCTTCCATCACACTTGCAAGGAATAATTCAAATTGTGATGCAATAAAATTAGCTTACATAACATCGTGGTACCCACTTACTTTTTTGGCATCGTACCAAATTTACAAAAAATTAAGGAGGTTGTTATGATCTGATTTGGCGAAGTAACAATAAAATAGGATGTTTGGATCAATCCTAACATTTTTAAAAGGATTCATCGACTCTAACCTTTTTTGTGACCCTTCAGGGACATTCAATAAAATTGGAACAATACAAAGAATATTAGCATGACTTCTGAGTAAAGATGACATGGACAAATCGAGAAATGGTCTAACTTTTTTTTTTTTAATTATTATTATCACAATTGGATTCAATTGAATAATAACTTAACCTAAATATTGGAATTTGTCTCAAACTCTCAAATTATAATAAAGAAGAGTTTGTTGGGTAATCAATATGAGAATTCTGAATGAAATAGGAAACATATTGGAAGAGACTTAATAAACGATGTATATGTTTATAGTGATTTAATAGAAAACATAGAGATTTGACAGTATCCAAATTGTATTGAGTTATAGTATTTTATTCTTTTAAATATAGTCGAGTATTATGTAATCTGATGGGTTAAGCCCAAGGGCCTAACCCACGTTGTAAGTCCAGTTTAAAATAAGAGCCCGACTTAAGAGAGATCCAGTAAGTCCAACCTAAAGTGGTCCACGCCTGGTCAGGCTCATCAGCGTTTGAGAGCTACATCACCAAGAGAGCATGTAAGGTCATCTAAGAGTCTCATCCACGCCGCCTTAGAAAGAGTCAACCACCAAGTCATCTTTGACTGGATTTAATGGGGAGCGTCGTAACTACCTCGTTCGTTGAAAAGATGGCTTCAGCTCCACTAGATTAGTCGCTTAGTTACTGATAAGTCGCCTCAATCTGTTATGAGACGACTATAAATTGTAAGCACCGCCAACACTTGGGAACATCACACTCAATCGATCACATCTGTAACTCTCTCATATCTCTCTCAGTTTGTATCTCCCTGCTCTCACTACATAACTTGAAGTAATAAAATACCGAGGTGACCTTAACCCTTCAAAATGGACGTAGGTCACGTTGACTAAACCATTATAGATCCTTATCTCGTTTAACTTACTACCTCTCTCTACTTTACGACTGTATTTATCTCTGTTCATTTGATAGGTGGTGTACAAATTCAATTTGTGCATCATCATAATCAATTATCAGATAACCAATTTTTTTCTAAATAATACATGATGTGGGTTTTTGGTATGTAGATGTAGATACGGTGTATCAGGAGGATATACTTTATTAAACCGCAATATTTATGTCATATTTTTATTATTTTTTTTTATCTTTGAATTCATATCTTCTAAGTTATGATATCTATATTAATTATTCGATGTATAAAACTAACACTAAATAAGTTATAATTAACTTAACTTTCGACAGCGTGCCTCCTTCCGCATCTTAATTGAAAACTATAGTCATCACCAAAAAATTTTAACCCATTAAAGTAGAACATCATATCTTACCTAACATTGAGAGGATCTATTGTATGAGGCCCTAATGTGGAGTGAGCTTGGTAGAAATGGACAGTTGGGTGGCTGTGGCCAAACTTCTCAAGACTTTCATTTCCAAGAATTCATACCAAGGCCTTTAATGTATCCTTGTTTTTCGCCATACTTGATCAAAGGTGGCTGGTGGTCCCAGTCTCTACATATATCAAGTTGAATGTGGACCTACCAAGGAATCACAACCACAGAATCTGGCACTGCCACGTGGCTCTCTCAAGTGGCTCTTTGTACATTGATTAAGAAAATGGAAAAGAGAAATGCTATTTACACCTACACATTTGACTCAGTTTACGATTAACATCACCTTTCAATTATTTGATTGGTCTCATAATCAATGTGATAATTGTATTGAATTAGATTAATAAATTAGCTTCCAATATCGTTACCCAAAAAAAAAAAAAATTATTGACCTAATGATATGACTGTAACATTGCCCAATAATAGTGTTGTGACTGTAAATTTTGTACTTCTTCATTGAAACTCAATTATTTAATACATTATTATGTCAACAAATTAAATCAAAATTTTAAATCCCAATAAAATTACCCATAATAAAAACGATGGGTAATGATCCATATTTTGTATTAATTATTATCTTCTTACAATGCATATTCAACTATTATTAATTTCACATTGCCACAATAATTAACAATTCTTATAAATCAGTCTCACCATACCCCTAAATTCTGTACATTTATACTGTGCATTGGTATCTGTATATAGTTTTTATCTAAAAAATAACGACGTTAGGGGTAATGTAAAACCAATCTAGTTTTTTTTTGGGGGGTAAGTGTAAAACCAATCAAGTTGTTGAGAAGAGAATGTAAGAAATTTAATAGTTCAAGGGGGTAAAAATCCAAATCCACAGTTGAGGGGTAAAATACAATTTGCCCTAATAGTCATGAGAAATACCATGTTAGTATTGATAACATAATATTATTAATCAATAACAAAACTCAAAATGGACAAAGTAAACCTCATTTGGATAGTTATTGGTTTACTTGGAAAAATAGTGAATAGTTATCTGTTTATATGGACGGATAATTATTGACTTGCGTAAAATTCATTTCTTTATGAATAATGCTAGATGGACTTAAAAAGTAGATTTGATAATCTCAACTATTGAATAGGTAGTGAGTCCCAATAAATGTTGAGACCTACAGTGANGGCCCTAATGTGGAGTGAGCTTGGTAGAAATGGACAGTTGGGTGGCTGTGGCCAAACTTCTCAAGACTTTCATTTCCAAGAATTCATACCAAGGCCTTTAATGTATCCTTGTTTTTCGCCATACTTGATCAAAGGTGGCTGGTGGTCCCAGTCTCTACATATATCAAGTTGAATGTGGACCTACCAAGGAATCACAACCACAGAATCTGGCACTGCCACGTGGCTCTCTCAAGTGGCTCTTTGTACATTGATTAAGAAAATGGAAAAGAGAAATGCTATTTACACCTACACATTTGACTCAGTTTACGATTAACATCACCTTTCAATTATTTGATTGGTCTCATAATCAATGTGATAATTGTATTGAATTAGATTAATAAATTAGCTTCCAATATCGTTACCCAAAAAAAAAAAAAATTATTGACCTAATGATATGACTGTAACATTGCCCAATAATAGTGTTGTGACTGTAAATTTTGTACTTCTTCATTGAAACTCAATTATTTAATACATTATTATGTCAACAAATTAAATCAAAATTTTAAATCCCAATAAAATTACCCATAATAAAAACGATGGGTAATGATCCATATTTTGTATTAATTATTATCTTCTTACAATGCATATTCAACTATTATTAATTTCACATTGCCACAATAATTAACAATTCTTATAAATCAGTCTCACCATACCCCTAAATTCTGTACATTTATACTGTGCATTGGTATCTGTATATAGTTTTTATCTAAAAAATAACGACGTTAGGGGTAATGTAAAACCAATCTAGTTTTTTTTTGGGGGGTAAGTGTAAAACCAATCAAGTTGTTGAGAAGAGAATGTAAGAAATTTAATAGTTCAAGGGGGTAAAAATCCAAATCCACAGTTGAGGGGTAAAATACAATTTGCCCTAATAGTCATGAGAAATACCATGTTAGTATTGATAACATAATATTATTAATCAATAACAAAACTCAAAATGGACAAAGTAAACCTCATTTGGATAGTTATTGGTTTACTTGGAAAAATAGTGAATAGTTATCTGTTTATATGGACGGATAATTATTGACTTGCGTAAAATTCATTTCTTTATGAATAATGCTAGATGGACTTAAAAAGTAGATTTGATAATCTCAACTATTGAATAGGTAGTGAGTCCCAATAAATGTTGAGACCTACAGTGAAATTAATGGTTGAGATTATCAAATTTAATTTTTAAGTCTATGTCTATTTTTTTTATTGGACTGCATATTATTAATTGATGATATCACGTGACAATATTAAGGTGATATCATCGTTTTAACGAATATTTTTTCAAGGAGTAGCTAACTAGATTGTTAGCTCGACATCAAAACGAAACACTTAAAAGCCTATAGTTTTCTCCCATGACCTATTATTTAAACACGCATTTGGCAGCTTATAAGTCCATGGCTGAGTTCACTGTAGACTTGCACAACTTTAAACATTCTCTCTCAGAAATGATTTCAAACACACAACTGCTAAACAGTCAGAGTGTAGTGGAGAGCTTTAACGAAAATGTTCATGGACTCATGTCATCGTCCAATGGAAGTTTTTCCGATTACCAACGGTTCCCAATGTCCTTCACTGATAGTACCCAAAGCTCATTCCATCACGAGGGTTTGTTTTTGGATCCATTAGCTCATCTCTTACCACCAACAGGAGGTGTCAGCCATGAAAGCAACCACATAAAGGCCATAGCCGAACCAGAAAGCTTGATGGTTTCTTCATTTCCTCTTTCTGGAACTGGGTTTGTTGGAGATCCTACGAACCAAACTAATAGAAACTCTGTACAGTTCTCATTTCGTACAATTCTCTCTTTTCTTATTTAGATTTTTGTTTGATCTTTTCCTTCTATGAAATATGATGTAATTGGGTTTGTTATACAACCTTATTTGCAGGGTTACACTGGAAAAAAGAGAAAGAGAAACGAGAGAGAAGAGGAGAAGCCAAGAGAAGTAGTTCATGTGAGAGCAAGGAGAGGCCAAGCTACTGATAGCCACAGTCTGGCTGAAAGGGTTTGTTCTATATAATTTTATCGTTTGATTATTTGGAAAATACAATGTAATTTCTTAGGGTTGAACTTGAACTATTTCATGTTCATGGAGGCAACTTTGATGTTATTAGAACTAAACAAATCAATCTGCTAACAAAAACCCAAAACTCTAATGACTTCAATCGACAGTAACAGTTCGTTTTGTTTTGAAACAGTTAAGAAGAGAGAAGATAAATGAAAAGCTGAAATGCTTGCAAGACCTGGTTCCAGGGTGTTATAAGGTAAGAACTAAGAACAAACACTTCCCAAATTTTTCATTCACGTTATAAACTAACAAATTTTTGTTGAAGAATATATTATTTAGGTTCTTTTTTGATGTTGTGTTATTGTGGATCTGCAGACGATGGGAATGGCGGTGATGTTGGATGTGATAATCAACTATGTTCGATCACTCCAGAATCAAATTGATGTAAGCTTTATTCAACAACAAATCTTACAAAACGAAACGGTTCGAGAGAATTTGCAATTGAATATCAAAAATTATATATTTTGAAGTGTTTTAAGGCGTTTTATCGTGTTTTGATCAATTTTTTGGAATGTTTATTTTAATTATTTATCCATCCAGTTTTTGAAAGTTTTTCCAAACCATTTTGAAATATTTTTGTTTTCAAACTAATTAAAACTATGCACCAAAACAAAATTTTGATTTAAACTATACTTTAAGAAGCCTTTTTTCACCATTTTCTTTTTTTTTTTTTCTTTTGTTCTTTCAGTTTCTTTCCATGAAGCTTTCAGCAGCAAGTTTGTTCTATGACTTCAACTCATCAGAGATGGAGGCTATAGAGACAATGCAGGTACTCTTCTGATTTGTTTTTTCTTTTTGTTTTCTCCCCCTAGAATTTAAGAACCTATTCGACAAAAATTGTGAAATATTTATTTGACACTGGAGTAGAATGCTCTAAATTAAGTTCTTAAATTTGAAAAAAAAAAAAGAAAAAAAATCCTGAAATATGGATACTTAAATTCATTATAGTTTCATTCATTTATTCAGTGCCTCCATTGAAACTGAACAGCGATTAATTACCGATTTTACGTTGCAGGGGACAAATGGGTATGAAGCACCAATGACGGAGAGGATGGTGGGAGAAGGGAATGGAGGGTTTCCTCACTTTCAATCAACATGGCCTGTTTGACCTTACCACGACTCTACCACCTAGTCAATTCTTTTCCACTTAATCCCTCTTTCATGACTTTCTGGCTAAAGAATGAGACATGAATCCCTTTTTGTCATGTTACTTCCTATAGCCAACAGATCAACAAACAAAAAAGAAAAGAAGAAATTTCCTATAGTCATATATACTGATGAACAAACTAGCTAATTGTGTGTCCTTAATGTTTAGACTATATATCAAGCAAAAATGAAACTTGTATGAGCACCATCCATGTACTATAATAAAACAACCATTAATATTTTATGTATGATAACTGCTATTGTTATAAAAGAGTTGTTGTTATCTCCATAATATATTCTGAAATTATGCTATTTACAATGAGGCAGTAGCTAATTGGAGGATAGAAAAAGGAAAATAAGAAGTTTAATAAAACAAACAAATATTTTGATGTATGATAATGTTTGCCTGCTCAATTGTTTCTTTTCTTTTTGTATTTTTTTGTTTGTTTGTATAGGACAAGCAAGATAATATGATGCATCAAGAGAAAATACTCTCGCTTTGATGCAGGGAGCATGAATAGATAAACTCGAATAATATATAATTAAATTTGTTGATTATCTTGATAATAGAAGGTAAAAACACTTCAAAACATCTCTCTTTATTCCGAATTACCAAGTTTGTTGAAAAAAATTTAGAGCGCAAGCTAAATAAAAAACCTTACTATTATGAAATTACCTATAATCCAAGCGTAAAATACAAAAATGTCAAAAATTAAAAAAAAAAAAATAGAAAAGCGTATAAAATGCATCCTAAAATATGTTTTTTTGGTCATCTGAAGCAATTTTGGATACCATAACTGAAATACCCCCCCCCCCCCCCCCCCCCCCCCCCCCCCCCCCCCCACCCCCACCCCCCCCCCCCACACCCCCC